GTCAAATGTCAATGATGTTCTGAATTGAAGACCGAAAATAACTTTCAGCCCTTATAGCCGCCAACAACCTTTAAACACAATCCGTTGGTCGTTGACCACCAACCCACTGCTAATGACATCCAGAATATGGTGTAACAACATATCCCGAACACGCTATAACAACATATCCTGAATGCGGCGTAATGACATATCTCAAACACTGTGTAGAGGTGTTTTTAACTACAACCTCAATGACCAACTAATGCTGCCACAACTACCAATTAAAACGTGAACAACTATATCCTATATGACCGACTGCTACTGCAACTTCCAACTACTGCCTCTATAAATAACTAACATTACTATAGTTACCAACTACGATTACCATTGCAACTTCCAGCTATTGCTTATATGGTCAACCGACATTGCTACAATTACCAAAACTGACTTATGTGGCTAGCTACTAATGCAACTTTCAATTACGACGTCTGTGGGCAATTGACGGTACTACAACTACCACTAAGACTTTTTTGACCAACTACAACCTAAGTGTCTAATTGTCATTATAGCTTTCAACTACAACCATTGTGGTCAGTTAACGCTACTACAACTACATCATAAGTGACGAACTAGGACCTATGTGCTTATTTGATACTACAGTATTCCAACTATGACATCTGTGGGCAATTAATGCTACTTCAGAAACTAATTATGATTTGTGTGGCCAACTATGACCCACGTGGTCAACTGCTACCATAGTTTCCAACTATAATCCTCGTGGCCAACTGATGCTACTGCAGCCTCCGACTAAAACTTTTATGACAAATTACTATCTTTGTTGCAATTAATTACGATCATTGCGACTCACTACAATTACTATCGTCAAGAACTAAATTTATTGTAGTCTAATTAGAGTAATTACAACTAAACTATTATTGTACATTCAACATTATTAGGAATGTAATTTCATCATTATTCAACATTATTATTGAAGATCAGACATTTATATTTATAATCACATAGTAGATTACTTTGATAGGGCTAGGTCTCATAATTTTTTTTCACTTTCTAGGATTTTTCCAAGATTTTTTCCTTTTATATTAACTTGTGTGTGCTTAATCTTCGTGTGACATTACGACATTAAAATTATCATTCTATCACCATAAATTTTTCAGCACGTAACAATTATGTTGATGAATTTAGAGAAAAAGCTCTCTGCGAGAGGAAATAAAAATGCAAGAAGGAACGCCAAATTAATTTGTCTTTTTTAAAAAAATTCTTTTTTGCATCTAATCATGAAAAATATAAATAAATTTCCAAATTATTTCACAATTAACCTAAAAAACATTCCAAAAATTCAAGTCAAAATCCAATGCGAGTCTAAAATTTCCAAGGACCACAATCTGAATATTCTATCAATAACGTATTATTACTAACAACTTGTATAGAGAAATGGAAATCAACGGTCGACCCGTGGAAATAGTGGTGATAGAAAAAAAATGTTAAGTGGGCCTCATGCAACCGTCCAGTTGGAAAATAGACAACGTCGCGTCAAAGCAGAACGTGAGGCTACGCTTAAGTCGCCGCAGGTCAGTGGCAGTAGATAAGACAATGGAAGCCCATGCGTCTTCCTAAAAACCCAAAAATCGATGCTTTTCTCTCTTCACCTTTGGGACATTTACAATACATATCATATAATTTTTACATATTTACATGCCCAAAATTAATATTTTGTTTTTTATATTTATACCACTTAAATCTGTGTGTGCGTGTTTAAGAATTGTAGTGTCACACATAGCAAACACATGCATTCATTCTTACACAAAAATAAGATAATTTATCACAAAATATACATTCAAATAATGAAACAAATAATAATACTAAATCTACAATTTACTAATAACACTAGAATAGCATGCATTAAAATACAAAAAATAACGTATTTTACATAAAATTATTATGTTCTAATATAAAATATATATAATAATAAGTAATAATTATATAAACTATTAACGTGTAAAAATCATTTTAATATAGAGAGAGAGAGAGAGAGAGAGAGAGCTCAGCTCGCCCTCACGCTGTAAAGGATAGAATCGAAAGTTTATGCCTTTATAACTTTATTTACACATCTTTTGGAGAAAAGTAACACGCTCAAACATACACAAAACGCTAAGCCCCAAAGTACAGCCTCCATACATTCACACCTCAAAAATTAACCCTTTACTGTTCATTTAATGAAAGGAGCCGTTTAGTCAAATATGAACTCTCATTAAATAAATTAACATTAAAAAAGAGAAAAATGATATGGCTCCATTTGTTTAAACACCAAATCAATGCAGAGAAGGCCAACAGAGGGATTGAAAATGACACTTATTTCCATTCTGTTAAGGTGGACCAATCCATAGAAACCTCGCTCTTAAAAAAATATTTCAAAGGCCAACAAGGATGAGCAATTGACCAGCTGTAATGGAAGAGCTTGGAGAGCCCATTTGATTCATTTTTTTAGCTGCTTTGTGGTAGCAACAGAAAAAAAAAAAATCAAGACAAGATTTCTGAAAACTTTGCTTCGAAACTGCTTTGAAATAAATATTCAATAACAGCTATCTCACCATGTGTTTATGAGGGGAAACAAAATTCAAACTAAGAGATTCAGATTTCAGGAAGTTATGCATCCTTTCAGAACTCTCTAAAATCTGATTCTACAAGATTTAAAGGGCTATCCTATAAATGATTCGGCAAAAGGTGCAGGCAAAAAGTCCTGGCACCAGAAAAACTTGCTAATACTATGTACCTTTTGCAATATTCACTACATTCGAATCTCGCCATTGAATCAGTAATCGAAATACAAAACCAACGTTACGAAACCGCATTCGAAACCTTCCCCCACGTAATAACGTTTCTCTACAGGAACATTAAGAAAAGCCTCACTTGAAAAAAAAAAAAAGAGGCAAGAACAGCTATAAAAACAAGCGACAAAAAGCACAGTGATGCAGTAAACAGTACATGTACTCGAGTCAATTTCATCAAACATAGGAGCTAAGAAGCATTAAATTTCACTAAACGCACATAAGAAAAAGTATCCACAGACTACAGAACGAGTAAACGAAAACTAACCTCACAGAAGCAGAGCTTTGTTTCTCCTTCATCCTTCTGACTGCTCGATCAACTTTCCCCCACATTACAATACAGTACAGATTCCAGCAAATAGCACCAAATTGATCGCTTCACGAGCTGATTTGATTGCCTACGAAGCCAAACAAGCCCGAAGAGAATCTCAAGATTAGGGTTTCAGGGTAGAGCACAGAGGCGGGAAGAGAAGAAGCACAGAGGCGGGAAGAGAAGAAGCACAGTATGGCGGGGGAGACTCCTGCAAACGCTGCATCGAGAATAAAAACCCCCTTTCAGCATTTTAATAATGTAAATTTAATGAGACGAAATCCCTACAGTACCCCTGCAACATTTTGATTATTAAATTCTTTGACGGGGTCTTGAGGGAAAGATGAAGTGAGGGTCATTCCGTCATTTCAAGTCCGTGGTAAGGATTATGTGGTGGCACGTGGAAAAGAACCCACGCCCTCACCCGCCGTGGGTCCTACATGAGAGAGCTGTGGGGCTGTCATTTGGGGGTGAGAGTTTTTTCGCAATTCTACCGTTTCGGCTTAGTGGAAACGGCTGGTGAGTACATGAAACGAGCAGATACCGTCCAAGGGAGAATGAATAAGACGCCAGCTGGGTACCAGCCCAGCTAGCACATAACGTTTGGAGACTTTATTTCTGCTTTTATTTTTTTAATTAAATATTTACAAATAAGAAAAAACATTCGAATATTCACCCTGCTATATGTTTACACATATTAAAATTACATACTTCATTTTCTTCTTTGATACATATATATATATAATATATAAGTACGGTAGAAAATGTCATTTTGGGCTATAAAATTACTTTCACATTCTAAGCTATAATCACATGAACGAAAATGAAGATTTTCATGAGTTCGGTGGCAGAAAATTTGATTAAATAAAGCCAAATAGAACTAAAGTCCCCAGACTTCATTCATTTACATACATACCCAACCAGTTCCTATGTATTTGCATATGCAATACCTACTATCTTTTTATATTTATACCACCCAAATTCTATTTAGAGAATTAAAAAGTGAAATAAATCTTCTTCATGCATAAATAAGGTAGCATATAAATGTGAACAAATTAAATTTTTTAAGTATTGGATATGATTTACATTTTTATTCTTTAATTTCGGGTGTATTTTTAAATAAATAGGACCCAACTCATCCTGGGCTCATAGACAGCACGAAAAGGCTACGCTGCATTATTGATTTACAGTAATCAGACAAAATACCACCAACCGAACTTTGTTGTATTAGCTATTTACCTACTCTTCCATTTTTACTGAACGGACACTGACATTATACCAAAGAGTATATATACAAGCTATTGCAAGCAGAAACTGCTTCCTAAAGCCAATCAGATAAGACCCAAAGCAAAAGTTCGTATAGCTTCTTTATTCTTAACGATATTTTTTTCTGAATGAAAAAATAAAATAAAATAAAAACTTTGGCTCCAACATTAAAACACGTGATCTTCAAAACCTTACAAACCAGAAAAAGAATGAGAGGCATTCACATGCATACCACCCAATTCTTATATCTTTACATACCTAACACCTATACATTTTACATTTATACCACCTAAATATTTCATCTCATTAAAAATTCCACCAATGTATGTAAGAAATTGAAGTTTAAGTGTTAGTTATGCAAATAAATATGAATTAAGTGGTATAAATGACATGTTCACATCATGATACCAATTTTTTTTTATGTGATACAAACAAGAAAAATTAGATACATTTAAGATTAACCAACAAAAGATGAAGCACTGTATAAAATAACATAAAAAAAAATTAGATACATTTAAAATTAACCAACAAAAGATGAAGCACTGTATAAAATAAAAAAAAAATGGCAGTCAATATGAATCTACAGAACGAGCACGGCATCAAATAAGACAATTCTTCTATTCCAAAGTTCTATAATGCGATCGCTTCAACAAAATAAATGACAACAGAGAACTACTGTAGCTAAAATTCCCACTCACGACGGCCAAATTTGTTACTCAAGTACTGAAGAGAGTTTATGTGCGGGAAAACAACATACACAATCGCAAATCAGCTGCAGGTATGAAGATTATCCACTAAAGTTAGCAGAATCACAGCTCCATCAAAATATAACTTCCTGGAAACCATTTAATGCTTTAGTTCTCCAAGTTTTTACCACGAAGAAACCATAAACCTACGCCGTTTAGATCATGCCGGAAGCTTGAGTTTTTCATTGTTTTTCCAACTGAGGAAAGGAGAAAAATACAAACAAATCACACTTCAATCGCCAACTTAGAAGCGTGTTTGACCAATTATAGACTGATAAAAATGTCAAAATAGTCCACCGACTTTTTGCAGTGGGTCACTTTAGCCCGAGTCTATAGAAGTGTTAATTTAGTACCCACTCGTCTAATATGAGCTGCAATAGTCCTAGTCCCCATGAAAGACAATTTCAGCTCCCATATTGAAAATGTCTGAGTCTCTAAGGACTAATTTAACACTTTTATATACACTGGAACAAAAATTACCCCATCAAACAGCCATGGGACTATTTTGGCAATTAATTTTACATGGACTTGCATTATATGTGAAGATGGAAGAGGTCTGAAATTTAGAACACATGTAGTTTTACAATTTAGGTCCAATCAAAGAAAGATTTTATTATTATTATTTTAGATAAAACATGGCATGCTCCCGTAATGAGAAGCTGACCTTATAAAGTAGTAGTAGAAGAAATCTATGTATAGTGCCGTCTGGACAATACCTGCAATCCAGGCTGCAAAAAAGAGAAGACATAAGAGGAAATAATGGCTGCTTAGACTTGTAATAAGATGGAGTTTCCATCCCACTATTTATAACTTACATATCCATCTACTGTAGTATTTTTCTGTAAAATAACGGTAGATCCAGTTGAGAATATATAAGGCTCGATATGCCCTGAAGCAAGCATTTACAATAATTAGAAAACAATGTTAGTTATTTGCAATAAAACAAATGTTGATAGTAAGGCTGATGTACAGGAGCGGGATCAAATTATGCCCCCGCAAAATTTACAATTTCTCTATATAAATAATAAATTTTAAAATTGTTTTCTTATGTAGTTAGGAAATTGCCCATCCTGGACATTAAATATAAATCATGAATTTAAAAGGTTGGTACAACAACAATCATTGACTTAACTAATTCAATGTGTTACTTGCAGCACAGATCATTGATTCATACAATTTGGATAACAGTCATCCATTTAATGATCCAATTCATTGTTACTGGTGAACCCCATAATTTAAAGTAGCATATTCATTATTAATTGTCCTAATCATCATCATTAGCCATAAAACCTAATTATTTAAGTTTCAATTTTCCACCTCCATTCACGCTTGACAGTATTATATTAAGTATTAATTCTACTTGTTGACTTTTTGCACCACTTCAACTCATCTTAAGTGTACTCATTTTCCTTGTAAATCCTTCCCAGTGATTCTATTTATGTTCCTTGTTGGAAGCATCTTGTGTATCCATTGCTCAAACCATTGTTCTCTATCCTCAACTTTATTTTAATAGATAATATTCCCAACAATCATATGATGAATGACAATTAAATTTTACAATTCCTAATACAACAAGAATAATGCAATAAATGTAGACCATATATGACTCACATGTAAACATCATCAAAAATGCAAAACTGTACTAACTTTGGGTGTAAACACGCCAAGTTTGAGCCACCTTAGGCTTGTGATTGAGCTTTTATCAATTAATTGATTTCTAGCTCAAGCTTAAAATTAATTCAACGAGTTCAAAGAAGCTCATGAATTAACTTGTTTATTCTTAAAGAGAGAGAATAATTTTGATTCAAATAACTGTTACAATAAAATAAAAAATAAGCATTTATGCAAGAAATAATAAAAAAATCACATAATACAAGAAACTATATCAAATTTTTAAATAATTTAATAATTTATACTTGGACCATTGAATTTTAATATTTTTTAAATGCATTTATATATCAATATTTATTTAAACGAGTCAGCCCATGAGCTAATGAATAGAGTTGGAGTTAGCTTAGGCTTGGTTTATTAGCTCATCAAGATCAATTCACGAGCCATTTATCGAACTAAGTCCAAGCTAACTCCACAGTAGGCTTAGTTACACCCCTCATGCAACAAGAAAATATAAAAATTAAAATAAAAATGATAATTAAATAATCAATGAAATCCAAAATAATCATAACAAATTTGAACCATGAAAAAATCAATCAGCGATTAAATTTTTTCAACAAAAATTAAAACTTCAGTTGCTATAAATTTAAACCAAATCAATTAACCTGACAAGCCAATAAAAGTAAATTTAGATGAAATTTGCTTTAAAAAAACAAAAATAAAGATAATGCAAGCCTCCTGCCTATACAAAAACATAACATCCTGTCCTGCCGATACAAAAACATGACTTCCACTCCTGCAGATACAAAAACATTACTTCTTCCAAAATTAAATGATCGCACTCAAACCTTACTTGCGGAATCTCAAATTGAAACTAGAATAAGAAAATTTTATTGAATCTATGTTAAACTAATATAAGTTTCAGAGTTTCCTAATTATAGATATTTATTTCCCTAATCTATTGCTTCTAATTACTTCAATTTTATTATGTCTCTGATCCTCTTATAAACAAAATACCAAAATAAAAAAAAGTAACAAAGTAATTGCAACCAATGAAGAATGAACAATGTGCAAAGATCTACAAGAGGTTCCGTTAAATCAAAAAAAAAAATGCAACACTGAGGAATAGATGGGTCATAAATTGCACCCCAGCAAGATACCAGACTTGCACTACAACTAATGAACATAAACAAAGAAACAGCTATATTCTCTTCATAAAGCCTGCATTAATCTACACTGCTTGGAAAAAATAAAAGACTCCAAAGAATTTAACATTTGATAATTTATTGAAAAAGAAAAATACCATAAGTTTGCTTCCTACAAAGTAATTAATGGGTTAGCACAAATAAGTTGGTCAGGCCAGTATACTAAATATATCCAGAAAACAACCAACAATTGTGGCCACAATATCATCATCAAGACTGGCTTAAAAAAAAAGAATATATAAGTTTTCTGGCAAAACATTTGAAGCTTATTTTCAAGGAAATATGAGAAACAATAGCAAGTGCATTGAAAAGGCTAAACCAGGTACATTAAAAGCTATATTAATACCAAATTTCTTCGAATTCAAATACACCATTTGTTCAGCACTAGAAATAAACTCCATGCATGTCCAATTAAAACAGCAGAAAATTTAAAATTATCATAATTATCAATTCATGTTTTATGAATATCCTCTCACAAATCAATTAAAATAAGATAATCGCGCACGTCATATGAGACAACAACAACGAGCATTTATCCCACTAAACCTTTTATCATATGAGAAAAGTGATAAAAATAACATAAAAATAATATGCATCCAAATTAATACTAATTTTGGCAATTTTAGAGGCCAACTTAGCAATACATGATATTACGACGCTGGCGGTCCTAGTTAGGAATCTGTTCACCCCTTCTAAGGGCAAAAATCTCACTCAGATTTTTAGAAAAATAAATGTGCAAGCTATAAAATAACTTCCTGGATTCCAATATATTTAGTAACTTCCATGTGTAGGAGTTAAAATAGTAACCTCAAATCTTGCTACAGAAATAAACAAGAAAGGCCCCTAATTCTAAGGAATGAGAGCTCAACAATCTGGACAAATTAAAATAATCACATACTCCAATCTCATTTAATTGAAAATTTGAATGCTATAACGGTGCAATTTTAGTCCATCACATTCAAATGGGACATCCATGTTTTAATGCACTCAAATCCATGTTTCCAAGATTAGTTAATAAAATAAAAATTAAAGAGTTTCAATGTGAGATGTGCCAAATGGCCAAACACTACGAAGTTTCCTGCCCCTACTGCTCATAAACCTCAGTATATTTTCCTTAATCAACACATATGCATGGGGACCAACTCGCATTCCTAATAATAGGACCAAGGCCAATTGTTACCCTCATACACGATTGCTCATACACAACTTATTTTTTTTTTCTAAAGAAATATAAATTCTAAGTGTGCACAACCACCCTAGGTCTGATTAAATCATTATTTTACCCAATTCAGCACTAATATTACATATATTAGGTTTGATATAATGAAAAAAAAAAATTCCAATCAAACCTTACCTTATTTTCTCCATGACTTATCTTGTGCTAAGTACCCAAAAGTTGATTAATCTCCTTTAAAAAACTAGGGTCTAGCTCCTTGAAAAGAATATTCCAAAATGTTATCATGGGTAAGATATCTTGACCTGTTATATCCTCAATAAATCATCATACAAAATAAAATAAAATATAAAAGCTATTAAAAACATACAAGACTCATTGATTCCACGAAAAAAAACATCCATAAACATAATAAAAACACTAAAGTTAGCGTGAGTTTGTTTCGGCTAACGGCTGTATAAAATCTCAGTTTTGAAATTTTCGTGGAAAATTTATTGTTTAAAAGCTGGTGTTCCAGAAGTAATTGTTTTGTTTAAAAAATTCAGTTTTGAAAGTATTGTGAAGTTATTGGCGCAGCGGCATCGTAGTTATCAATACGGGGGTGTCGCAGTTATCGGCCCGGGGGCAATGTAATTATCGGTGCGGGGGGCGTCGTAGTTATTGGCGTGGGGGCACCTATACAAGCACGTGATGTTTGAAAGCAGTACAGAGTGCAGAGTACGGCAACATAAGGGCGCAGGCGTGCGAAAAGCAGGACGTGCACGCACATATGGGTGAGAGTGTGCCACTCCAAAAGCAGGACACAGGCGCAAGAAGCGAGATTGTAACTGCAGTTGCGATATTACACAATTCGTGTCACGGTTTTAACTTCCGCCCGCCGAACGCGCAAATCAAACGCTAAAGGATTGGACGCAGTTAAAAAATCTGGCAGCATAAGCCAAACCAAATGTCCCCTTGATATCAGACCATAAAATGCATCTAATTTAAGATTAAAAAAGCATAAGTTTTACCATAACAATTCCAAAATATTCATCATCTCCTAGAATGAACAAATATTAACTTCAGGGAAACCTTAAAATGAAAGCAACTTTGATTTCCTCAAACTTGATCTTCCAAACAACGCATAAAGCCCCAAGCAATCCAAGCCTTCCCTACTAATATTAGTATCCACCACATATATGAACTCCAACAAAGACATATTTAATGAACCTAAATCATTATGATAGGTACACAAAAAAAATCAAACACTTGAGCTGTTGATTTAGCAGGATCGCTCATAGATAGAAGGTCTACAATGAGTAACGATAATTTCCCAAGGAAAAGCTAATCTTATGGAGAAGCAAGAAACAATGAAAAGCTACCATAATTAGCACTAAAGCTAAATTTTGGGCAATAGTTTAAAGAATATGTGAACAATTGTGGATCAAAATAATCCATACTAACTTACAATTATGAGTGCCAAAAATTGACCAGACATAACAACACTTCAAAAATCCAGTTTTAGGTCTGTTCTCTAACCAGTATATTGCAAATTCAAAGGCATTTAATGTCTAATATTTGACTTATGTATTCAATGTGATATTCAATTACTCGTATTAGTCTTCCAGACAAAAAAATTTTAAAGATATTCAATTATAAATATTATTCAATTTCATAGGAAAGTTTAGAGTCCCTTCATTTGTCTTCAATTTTTTATCTTTATAATTTATTTAATATGATATAAAATTTTATTTCAAATATTATTTTATGATTTATATTTTATATCATATTAATGTCTAAATACTCCAAATTAAAGTTCTTTTGCAAGTTCAAAATCACTTAAAATTTCTGAAACCTCCCGACGTCTCCCCCACTTATGAGGCATCAATGAGAGAATTGGACATGTCCATTAGCTCATAA